CATGGCAACATCATGGACATCACCGCTGTCCCTGGTCAGGCAAAACAATGCTAGGCGGGTCGCAAGTGTTGTTCCCCTTCGCCGGGGCGACAGTGATCATTAATCCTGGTACGCAATGACTGCCAAGCAGCGGAGTGGGCGGAGTAGGCTGAGTAGAATCCGATGAACGCAGAGCAGGTACGGGCCCCTTCTTAAATCCGCAAAATGAAGAAGCCGTGTAGGAGCCACAACTACTTCGCTGGACATCGTCAGGTGCATGTCGCGTTAGATACATTCAGCGGGATGGATAATAGAAAGTGGATGGCACTTTTGCCACAGCGGTATACGTTTGCCGAGGTCCACCGTCTCATCCGCTGGGTCCGAGGCCTTGAGGGCATTTAGACCAGACGAGTCCCTCTTCTTTCTCTTAGACCGACTCCTGAGCTCCTCGACGTCGGACGGGAAACTATCGTCCGTGAGGTCGAGCTTGCCCTGAATGACGTGCACGAAAAAAACCTAAGCCACGACGTCAGTATGATATTTCTCCAGATTGACAACTGTATTACTGAGCCCGCGCTCGAGACGAACAACCATCGCATGAGACTGCTGAATGTGCTGGTGTACTGGGGCCTGCTGCGGATGCATCTCTGCATCCAACATCGTTGGCAAATGCGATGCGAATACTTGGTGGCGCGCGCGATGCCCCATGCCGCATGCCTTCCACAAAAGGGTAGCGAGCTGCTGTGCAGCCTCCATTATGAAGTGCAGGATGGCGCCGACTAGGAGAAGCTCTATCCCTTCAGGGCCTTTGCCTCCTCCTCATCCTTCTCCGCCTCCTCCTCCTCCTCCTCCTAGGCCAGCCTTGCCACCGAACCCACATTCTTTATCTCAAAATGGAGTCTCGAACCTTTGCGCATCCTTGCTTCCCGCCCGTGCCGCAGCAGAAAACACGCCAAGAGGAGGAGCAGCCCAACAACCATCAACACCAGGAGAACTTGGCCTTGTTCTCGTTCCTGTTGCAGCCACAGGGCGCACATCGCATGGTAACGCCCGCTTTATCATTATCTGTGTTATTACGCGCATGGGGCCAGATCGACCACTCCCATTCTGAATATTGAGACTGAGGAAACTCATTGCATTCCTGAGCCCAGGGGCGCGAAGCTGCATCACGGCACTGGGCTGGGGCCGTGCACTGATTGGGACTTCTCTACGCCGAGCCAGTGGCCCGTTGCCGCAAATGCCGACGTGCCATTAGCACCAACGATCGCAGGAAACCCGCGCCGCAACGGCTACGGCAGCCGGACGAACGGGAGGGGGAGGAAGAAGGATGGGAGTCGGAGCGGGAGCGGAGCGGGAGGGAAAGGCACAGAGGTCCGATGGCTGGCTGCACCCGAGGGCCCCCAGTTCGCACGCGATCCAGGGGCCGACCGAAGGGTCGACCGGAGGCCCGGGCGCACGCCGAGGGCCCGAGCAGAGCCAGGCAGGAGAGGGGGCCGAAGCCTCGAGCTGCCCGCGCTGCTGCGGAGGGGAGGGGGGGGGACAGAACGGAGGAGGAGCAGGAGATAGCAGGAGGAGGAGCAGGAGGAGGAGCAGGAGGAGCAGGAGGAGCAGGAGGAGGAGCAGGAGGAGGAGGCAGGAGGAGCAGGAGATAGCAGGAAGAGGAGGCAGAGGGGCCGGGGAAGGACAGAGGAGCACGGAGGAGGGAGGACGAGGGGCAGGAGAGCGGAGGAGGACGGCATCAGGAGGGGGGGGATGAGGGGCAGGGCATGGGGAGGAGCACGCGGGCATGAGGGGGGAGGCTCCTCGCCCACGCCGCGGAGCGCGTCGGCGCAGAGGCGAGGCTGCGGCGGCGCTGGCGCGGCGGCGAGTGATCCGCGTGCCTGCAGCGCCGCGGCCAGCGAGGCCACTCGCCAGGCCGAGGGGGGCATCCCAGATAGCTGCTGCGGAGGAGGAGGTGGAGGAGGACCAGAGTAAACTCAAGCCGCATCAACGATGCTGCAGTAAACCCTCCCTCCAAGTTCCCTCTCCACAGGTCCCTACCATGTTTTGTTGTCAGTACGGGCAAGGCCACATTGGGAGACAACCGTCTGAGAAGCCTCAATCATGCCAAAACACAGCTTCTGGGACATCAGCGCAGCGAATCAACATGACTGTTGCGTCCCGACAACCCTTACTCGTGCCAGAACACCACCATTCGCCAGACGTCAACGCCGCGATTCAACATGACTGTTGCGTCCTGAAAATCCTAAATTGTGACAGAGCACCATTCCTGGGACTTCAACCATGCGAATCCATGGGGATATTCCAGACTTGCATAACGAATGCGCGCATCGCTGAAGCAAGAGCATTAGTTTGAAAAGAAAGGCAACATAAACCACCCTCCATGCTTGAAACTGCTGCAAACTTTAAAGACGAATGCGCGCGGCGCTAAGGCGAGAGCCGCATTTTGAAAACCATCCGCCCTCCATCCGTGAAGCTGCTGTAAACGTTTAAGACAAATGTGCGCGGCGCAAAAGCGAGGGCCACATTTTGAAAACAGTCCGCCCTCCATCTGTGAAACTTGTACACAGTTCAAGCTTCAAAATCATGAACGGTGAGGAAATCTCAAGCGAAACGCCTGGCCCGCCCTACCGACACGCCTGGGCGGGGCGACAGGGACGAGTTATTTATAAGGAAAAGGATGGAGGCGGAGGAGTAGGAGGCGGAGGAGGGAGGGAGGAGGAGGAAGCAGAGGAGGGACGGAGGGAGGGATGAAGGGAGAGAGGCAGAAGGGGGAGGGAGAGAGAAAGAGAGAGAGAGAGAAAGAGAGAGAGAGAGAGAACAAAAAAAAAGAGAAAGGAGGAGAAGAGGAAGGAGGGAGGGAGGGAGGGAGGAGGCGGAGGAAGAGGAGGAGGGGGAGAGAGGGAGGGAAGTGGGGAGGGAGACAGGAGGAGAAGGCTTGTGAAGATTAAAAAACGGACGCGAGGCTAGAGCCCCAGTCTGCACGGTTGCGGCTGGAACGGCGTGGCGCGAGAGACACCAGATGCCGCAGTTCCAAGCGGAGCCTATGGGCGTCGAACGTGCGCTGAGAAAAAGAGAGGGAACAAAAAGAATAGCAAGCCCATCATGATGCATAACTGCGGCAACAAAAAAAACTGCCCATTCGCGGGCACGCAGCCTCAGGCGGCGGGAGTGCTCTCAGTTTGCCTGGTCCACCGGCATAGCGGCATGAGACTGCACACGCCATGCACGACCGCGTGTTTCCCAACTGCGGCAGGGAATGCCGACAGATTGCCAGATGCTCGCTGCCACCTTGGCGCAGCCGGCGCACGCGCCGCGCCTGGAGCACGCGGCACACTTGGCGCACGCTGCGCATCTGGCGCGCCAAGCCCGCTCGGGCACCCGGGGCGCCGGGCGAACGCGCTGCGCGTGGCGCACCTCAGCACGCCTCTTCCCTCCTCCTCCCTCCTCCTCCCTCCTCCTCCCTCCTCCTCCCTCCTCCTCCCTCCTCCCTCCTCCCTCCTCCCTCCTCCTCCCTCCTCCTCCCTCCTCCCTCCTCCTCCTCCTCCTCCTCCTCCTCCGGAATCCGGCGTACGTGCTGGCTGGTAGCGACTGTCCATCGGACGGCGACCGCTCCAGGTGCCTAAGTCCCGGGTGCTGCTGGCGTGGTGGGACTGCTGGTGGGGGTCAGCGAGACAGCTTGTGGCGCTCCTTGGGGCAATGTGGCCCCCTCCCCTGCCACGTCCACCGGGTTTGGAAGCCCTCCTCCGCTCCCCCCCCCCTCGCAGCCGGTCAAGCGTGATCCCAGGATGGTCGAACGTGATACCAATGTGGTCTGAGAGAGCCCAAGATGGCCTCCGAGCTTAGGCAAGACGGTCCGCCTTGGTTCGACATCGCGTTTAGCATGCTTCCAAGAGGCGCCAAGACCGCAATCAGACATCCCGCGGCAATGGAGCCTCCCAAGGATAGTCCAGAGACCAACAGTGTTCCGATGATGTTCACTTTCTCGCATTTTCGCTTCTGGGTGACTCCTGTTTTTTTTGTTTTTTCTCCGTTTTCAACTCTTCGTGTTGCGGTCGACCAAAGCAACAACAAAAAAAAAGAGAAAAAACGACGACCAAAAACACAACAAAAACGACAAGCCCGAAGCTGGCCCCAGACAGGTTCCAGGCGTTCCGGCGCGCTCCCGAAACGACCCCAGAGAGCCCCAATACGGTCCACGACGACCCCCAAAAAGCCGTCATACCCCCAAAGATCGCTCCGAAACGTCCCAAGAGGCCTCCAAGAGCACTCCCAAGAAGGACCCAAGAGGCAAAAATTATTGATTTTCTGGGGGGGGGGGGGGAGTTTTGGGGTTATCTTCTTTTCGGCTTCCCGACGCTCCAAGACGGCGGTCTTCTGGGCGTCCGAAGCCGCCTGGGAGGCTCCAAAATCGCCCCACAACGATCCGAAAGGGCTTCCAGGCAATCCAAGAGAGCCCCAAAACGGCACAACAGGGGTCCAAGATGGCCCTAAGAGTCCCCCACACCCTCCGAAGCATTCCAAACCGTGTCCCAGTCATTCAGGGAGACCGCGGTTGGAGGCAGGGTGGCCCGAGGAAGCCCCCAGAGGACCCCAGAACACGCCCAGGAGGCCTCCAAAAGGCCTGAAGAAAGCCTGAAAAACTGTTATGAGGCCCCCAGAGGCTCTCCAAGTAGGAGCCTCCGCAAAAAAAAACTGAGGATGATGGGGAGAATGCGCAGCGCATGGCGAGAATGAAGGAAAAGAAGCATGGAGGAAAGATAACGAATAACATTATTATAACGGCAGTGCCGGAAAAGGCAACAAGGAGATATCGCTAAATCGTCGGCTTGACCGTCCTGCCATCCCGCCTGCATACCAAATTTCAAGGACCAAGGTTCATGGCGCGAAGCGCCACTGTAGTCTTGCATATATGTATACGTATATAGATATGTGTCTGAGGAAAAACACAAAGTGGGCGAGACGGCAATCCCAAAACGGGAACGAAGGGAACAGAAAAGATAAAAAAACGCACACTGGAAAAACAACTCGATCCTGAAAACGACAGGAAAAATAGGGAAATACAAACAGGCCCCAGCGTTTTGAGACCATCTAAGCTCCTGTGGCCTCAAGGGCCTCAAGATGGCTTCAAAGTGACCAAGGAAGGTCCCAGAAGAGGGGCCGAAAAGAGCCCCAAGAGGTCACCAAGGCACCCCAATATCACCTCTGAGCGCACTCACATTACTGTTTCACGAAAGGCCCCACACGGGCCTCGAAAGAGCCCCAAGAGGGCCCCAATGGTACCGAGAAGGAGCCCAAGAGACCATCAAGATGCCTCCAAGAAGATTCCGAAAAGAAACACCCCGAAGTCTTTGCTGACCACTGTGGGGAGCTGTTCGGGCTGATCGCAACTTCGGTCTGACTGGTATCCCCCGTCGTTGCTTCAGTGCGTGACCCACATCGCCGCAGAGAACCGAAGGATACAAGTTGTGAGCGTCGCCTTCGGTGGATCTCCTTATGGGGCCACGAAGCGTGCGAAGCGTGTGTCAAAATCTGGGGCCGCCAGAGCTGACTACGGGGCCACGAAACGTGTAAGGGTGTGCTGAGATGGGGCGGGGCCGCTATGCGGACGGTGCCTATGGGGCCTCAAGTGGAACTCCATAGGAGGCCACGAAACATGTAACGGGTGTGCTTAAACGGGCGTGACGCCCACATGTGGACGGTGCCTTTTTTTCAGGCCTTAAGTGGAGCTCCCTATTGGGCCGCAAAACGTGCGACGGGTGTTACCAAAAGGGCGTGACGCCCACGTGGACGGTCCCTCTGGGGCTTTGGATGGAGTTTCCTATGTGGCCACGAAGCGTGTGAAAGGTGTGCCGACGATGATGATGATGGTGACGATGATGGTGATAATGATGATGATGATGATGATGATGATGATGATGATGATGATGATGATGATGATGATGATGATGACGATGATGATCATGATGATGGCAACGATGGCGATGGTGGTAGTGATGATGATACTGACGATACTGTGTATTATGATGATGATGATGATCATGATGATGACGACGACGACGATGATGATGATGATGATGATGAGGATGATGAGGATGATGATGATGATGATGATAATGATGATGATGATGATGATGATGATGATGATGATGATGATGATGATGATGATGATGATGATGATGATGATGATGATGATACCGACGAGGAATGCGGAGGGGGAGGAATCGAGGTCAGGAACGCGAGGCGATGCCTCTTCAAAACGAGGAAACAACGCCTCCGGAAGGTTGGGAAAGTAGCCAAGTGAAGGACCCAACCTTATGTAGTTGTGCAAACAAGTGATTGTGGGCATCTTCCTTCGTCGGTGGAGCCTCCCTGCGGCCACGAAACGCGCGAGGATAACGCTAAAACGGCGTGGAGAAGGCATGCGGGCCCTGCCGCTCGAGCCCCTCTGTCTCATGACGCAGAAGGGCACGCAGCGCGCCCCGTTCTGCCCCCGCGAGCCACGGCGGGCACAGGGCCCGCTCCACCTGGCGCCGGAGGCTGGCAAGCGGCCAAGCCACGGCAGGCTGCCCGACGCAGGCGCGCCAGGCGCCCGCACGCGAGGGGCTCAAAGAAGGACGCGCCCCACGCACAGGCGCCCGCTCAGGAGAGCGCCCCTCATGATAATTGAAGGGGCCCCAGGACACACAAATAAATACACACAAATAAAAATATCCCTTATATTTTCCCATAGTTTCTGGGTTTTTGTCTTCCCCCCCAATGCCCATATTTTCCCATATTTTCTGGGGAATCGAGGATTGATTGTGTCTGTGTGTTTTTTCCCTCCTGAATAATGTCGGCCTTCCGCCACCTGCTCCTTTCGGCCTCCTTGGTCCTGGCCGTCTCGCCAGCCGCCCCGAGGCCACGGCGCTCGCCCTTGCTCTCCCCCGGCATGCCGCCCGCACCTCAAGCACGCCCTGCGGCCAAGAAGGTGCG